AGCAACAAAACGACACCAAGCAACAAAACGACACCAACCAACGAAACGACACCAACCAACAAAACGGCACGAATCAACAAACCGGCACTGACCAACCAAACGACAAATCACTTCACGACACCAATGAACAACGCGAAATCCACCGACCGCCAACCAAACATAAAATCAACAGACACAACGAAACCAACCCATAGAGCCAGACCAACCACTGGATTCGTGAGTCGGGGTAGTCATGGAAGTGAGCCGCTGCAGCCCGCGGAAGCCAATAACAGTGACCAGAGCACCGCAATGCAGCAGCGTTCCCGGGCGGCGGCGGGAGTCTCGGATCTCCCGCGGGACTGGAGCGTAGCGAGTTCGTCCTGGGTCCGGTTTAGTGAAGTGAAGAATTTCGGGGTGCTTGCATGGCAAAAACCTTCACTTCACTAATCTGGGGCCCCTGGAGCCCCAGGGCGATTCAGGTCCCCTCGCTGTCTGGGTAGTCCAGGGGGCGCAGTGGCGGCTTACCAGAGGCCCTGTTCCCTAGCCTCACTTGCTTTCACCCGTGGTGCTCGACGGCCGTCTCGGAGCTGTCTTGTGGCGGTCTGGGGCAATCCCGAAGCCTCTTGGAGCCATGCCAAGGCCCCAAGGCGCCACCAATGGGGGCCCCAAGAGAGCTCCCAGAGGGCCCCGAAAAGGCCTACAACAGATTGCACGTTCGCGCGAATTCTTTGTACCACTTTGGGGGGTCCCTCTTGGGGCCCTCGGGGAACGTTCTTGGGGCCCTCCGAGGGCCCACTGGGGCCCCGGGAAGGCCCCAAGAACGCTCCCAGAGGGCCCCATGAATGCTCCAAGAGGGCCCCAAGAGGACCCCCACAAGTGACAAAAACTATTTGCATGAGGGTGCAACTTACTCGGCGCCTCTTGGGGCGCTCTTGGAGCCGTGCTGGGCGCCACTCGTGGACGACATGGGCTGGGCGACGGCATGTGGACCCTGTCGCTTGGGCCATCGGGGGTGTTCCCCAATGGGGCCACGAAGCTTGTGAGCGTATGACGGAATGGGCTGGGCGGCGGCCTGTGGGCCCTGCCAGTGGGGCCGTCGGTGTAGCTCCCCGTGGGGCCACGAAGCGTGTGAAACGTATGCCGAAATATGCTGGGCGGCGGCCTGGGAAACCTGCCGCTGGGACGTTTTTTGGGTGGAGCTGCCTATAGGGGCACGAAATGTTTGAGGGTGTCATTAATGTGGCCTGGGCGACGGCATGTGGACCTTGCCGCCGGGACCTCCGATGAGCTCCTCATGGGGACACGAAGCGTCTGAGGGGCGTGCCGACATGGGCTGGGCGGCGCACTAAGGAGCCTGCCGATGGGGCCTTCGGTGGAGCACCTCACAAGGCCACGAGACTTGCGGGGGATGTGGCGAAGCAGAGACGCGGGGGAACAAGGGAAACGTTTTGATGATGTTGATGAGGATGGTGGTAGTATTGATGATGGAGACGACGAGAATGCTGATGATGCTGATGATGATGGTGATGGCGACGATGACGATGGACGATGACGACGGGGACACGCGGAGAGCCGGGGCAGATACGCGAAGAGGGAGGACGAGGGAGGGGGCCGGAAAAAATGACGCGGGGCGGTGTCTCTTCAAAACGAAGAACCAACACTGCAATATGGTAGGAAATTTCTGGACGACCCCCCCCCCGTGGCGCGGTCAATGTCCGCGACAGCATCGCTGGCACTACGAACGAAATGATCAAACTCTTCCTGCGACGTTACCCGCGGGGTGGATCAGCCAGGGATGGGGGTCGAAACCACCCCAGCGCAAAGCAAATGTACAATCCTGAGAAACCCCAGCCCACATCAACCGATCCGCAACAAGCACGCAAGCCTTTGACGACCCCAACGCACGTGACATCGCATAACGCGACGCGCCATCGAAAACGTTCGACGCGCGGCCTCGGAATGACATCGGGCTTCATGGAACGCCGAATGGAAAACATGAAAAACCGCCCTGTGGGCTCCGAGACCCAAAATTACTGATGTGAAGGATTTCGGCTCGTCGACGTGGATCTCCCGGCCGCGGTGCCAGCTTCCCGCCCGCGAGCGGGCCACCCGCGCCGCCACCTGGGAAAAGAAACAAAAAACTCTCTAAAGCAACGTTTCCCCATCACCCCGCCGCTCCGCCTCGGGGTCCGCGTAATGGACGACGCAGGAGCCGTTGAAGCGGCCATGGTGGTCCGTGCACCACTCCACGCGAGAAACCTGGGAGGCGCTGCAATGCGATACGCACCGCGCACCGGACTCCCCAGGAGCAGAATTGCAATGAGGAGAGGGTTCGCGGACGAGCCTGGCCCGCTTTGCCGAAGTCATCACGCGCCTGCTTCTTCGACAGCCCTCATGGAAGCAAGGCCACGTACACGCGGTTGCCGCGCACCGGCGACCGCGAGCGAGCAGCGTCCTGGGAACCCCGCCCACGGTCAATGCATAGCACATGTGCGAACAAGATCCGACAGACCCCCTTTAGAAAAATGGCCCTCCAAGGCGCGCAGCGGCGGCGTCGTAGGCGCGCGGGGCGCCTCTCCGACTGCAAGCGGCGCCCGCCGCGCCGCCAAAGGCGCCCCTGCGCCGCCGCCGCCCGCCTGCCTCGCTGCGACGGCGGGGGCGACGCACTCCCGCTGGGGCCCGTCGTCGTCGCTGCGCAGCCTATCCGGGCGAAACGCACGGGAGACCAAAGCCGCGAGACCGTGCCCCCGGCACTCACATCAAACATCGCCGGGAGCGCCCATGCATCCGCGAATCCCACAATTTACACACCGGCGCCTCTAAAAGTCGGGGCTCACCCACGGTCTGGTCAAGGACTGCGTGTCCGAGGTAAAGCCGCCGACCTTTCATTGGCGCGCAGGTGCCCACCCGCCCCTGGCACCCGGACCCCCCCGCGCATCCTTTCCGAGCGCGCTGCCCTCGCCCAGCCGTCCAGGTTCACGGCAAGCACTTTCTGGCCGTGCTCGACGTCTGCGGCCCCCGTGGCTTGCGCCACCGCGGCTTTCCCCAGAAGGGGCGCCGCCGCCTCCGCGCCCGGGTCTCGCTCGCCGACGGCAACCTGGGCAACGAAACGCTGGCGCTCGCAAGAAAACGAAAACAACGCAACGCACTGGATGCGCCGACACGACCAGGGGAGAGCGCGCATAATGCACTGCACCACTACCGAACAAAAACTCACGGAACGCAACGCGTTCGCGGGCCCGCGCCCCGACCACAACGCGCGCAACCCGTCGTCCGTGCAGACAGGGTGGATGACAATCCTGTCCTGCACATGAAACGCATGCGCAGGAAAATCGTGCGACCGGCAGCCTGGCACAGCGCGGGGGCCAACCAGTCGGCCTTGTCCTTGTCGTAGCTCCCGAGCGCGGGGCGCGCGCACTGCGCCTGTCCGCCCAGGGCAACCGCGAAGACCTGAATGGTACATATTGCACAGGTGCGACCCCCCCCCAAAAAAAACCCACCAAAAACTGCGCGAGAAATGCCCTGCCCTCCCCCTGGAGGCAAAAGGAGCATGGAATGACGCATTTCAATGGGCGCGCCTGCTGTCCGTTGGTGCAGGTGCGGGCGTGGTGAAAGAGCACGGAGGCGGGAGCTCCGAGCACAATGCCGCACGACATCGCAGGAGGGGGGCGGCCCGCTGGAAGACGCGAAGCGCGACTGTATGGGGAAACAGCGGTCTCGAGCCAGCTTGTCAGAACAAATGCAAATGAAAACGTGCCGGCAACGCAGCGCAATGTGATCCTGCCGGGGGACTGGCGAACGTCGCTGCCACCACTATTACCCAGCGCGCACGCAGATGCACGCGCGAACACAAACACACGCTTTTTGCCATCGCAGCGCCAAGGAACCGCGGTCGCGAAGAGGCTAGCAACGGGCTACTAAGTGCACCTGCGTTGAGGTGGAGCCAAACACAAACACACACACACAAACACGTGCCTCTTGTCACCTTCGGCACCATGCCACCTCACACACACAAACACACACACACAAACACACACACACAAACAAAGGTCCACAATGCCCTGGACAAACCGCGCCGCAATGAATCACAAAGTGGCGGCACCGATGGATCAATGAATCAATGAATCAATGAGTCAATGGATCAAAGAGTCAATGAACCCGTAAGACAAGGAGTATGTGAATCAATGAGTCAATGAGTCAATGAACCAATGTGTCGCACCTCGTGGGAATTGCACGTGTCCCGGACGAACCCGCGAGAGCGTCGAATGACGTAGGCATTAT